GTGACACAGTAAGACTCAAAAAAAGTTTCGGGGGGCTGCCAGCATTTCTTGGCTAGTGGCTACATCATTTCAGTCTCTGCTTCTGTGATCATATTGGTTTCCCCTCTTCTTTAGTCAAAACTTCTTTCCTCCTTCCTGATTTGCCAGGATTTTTTCTTTTATCATTTCTGTTTAAAGAACTACCTTCTTTAGCTATTCTTTTAGGATACCTCTGCTGATGACAATTTCTCTGTGTTTTCCATCACCTAACAATGTCTTGATTTTCTTCCCTATTCCTGAAGGATATTTTCACTAGAAACAGAAGTCTTGCTTGACAGTTATTTTCTTTCAGCACTTGAGAAATGTGCTACTTCCTTCTGGCCTCCATGGTTTCTGTGAGAAATACACTGTCATTCAAACTGTATTTTCCTTCTAGTACTTGTTGCATTTTCCTAATTGCCTGTTGAAGCATTTTACAAGAGCTGCTTTAAAATCTTTGTCAGAGTATTAGAACATCTCTGTTATCTTTGTGTTGGTGTCTATTAATTACCTTTTTCATCCAAGTTGAGACTGTATTTATAACAAGTAACTTTCAATTGAAATCTGGACATTTTGAGAATTAAGACACTGGATCTTATTTAAATTTTCTGCTTTTTAAGGCTTTTCCTAATAGTGCTCCATCAGAAGAAAGAGGGATATTACCTCATTACTGCCATATGGGAATAGAAGTTCAGGTTCCCAACTTGGCCTCAGTTGACACTCAAAAATGGAAGAGGCTACTCATTATTGCTGGGTAGCAGATGGGAGTTCTAGGTTCCCATTAGGCTTCCACTGATACCATCCTGACTGAGAGGAGGAGGCATGCCTCTTGTCTCCTTCCCACATGGTTTCCACTCATCATTATCTTCACATGCCTAGTGTTATGTGCACACACAAAAAAACTAAAAAACAGAATCAAATAGGAAAATATACAAATTTGGGATTATGACAGCTTTTCAGATTGTCTCTATTTTGTTACTTGTTACTATGCTTATAAACTTGTATTTATTTTAAAAAAAACTTTATAGTTACTTATTTCAATATCTAGTCCTAGAGTGAGAAGATAACCTTATATACTAGAAAAAAGGAAAATCGTTACCAGACTGGAACTATATATTTGTAACTCAAAGTTTTTTTAAAGGAGAAAAGATGTATACAGAAAGCAATAGCAACAACAATAAAAGGTTAAATAATCTAAAAATTATCTCACAAACATCCTTACTCCATGCTTGTTCATACTCCCTTTCTGGCTTAATTATTGGATGACTGTTCTAGATTTTATCTGGAGAATAGTGAAGAGGGCAGCCTCAAAGTGTTATGAATTATGAACAAAAACTGAAAAAATACTAAATTACTGTTGCAACAATGGTTCTGTATTACAAAATATATAAATCTCATACTAATAGCTTCAAAGAGAATACACACACATTTAAGTACTTCTCGCTTTCTCTTTTTTCTCTCTCTCTCTATAGACACACACACATAAAAGATTTTAATTTAAAAATATGAGTTTAATAAAATAATTTGAATTTGATCAACTCTACCAAAAGCATGATGTTCTCCATACTCAATAACAAATACATTATATTAAAATATTCATTTTTTAAAAAGTTATGTAACAACTAAACAATGGAAAAGTATTTGTAGTTCCCTATCATAAGATAAATCAAAACCATTTTATATTTCACAGAGATATAGAGTTCCTATGTTATTGAGATGACATAAAATTTCCATATTCCTAGGAAAAATCACTTCATTCTTTGGGTAACCCCTACTTTCCACATTTCCAACCTATCATTATTCATCTAATGGCCCATTCCTCATTTGGTCAGTGCATCCAGACTACAATTTCTTATAATCAATTTAAGGAAACTATACTGCAGAATGTTTCAGGTCCTTTTGTATTACCACAGTATAAAAAAATCAAGAACATATGAATACATAATTTTGACATTAAAATTAAAGTACTCCTTAAAACTATTAATGCTATATAGGATGGATTTTGGAATATTAATGCTATTATTTAGTCAAGTTTTTAAAATATAACATGTCTAAATATAAAGTTAACAAGTTATTCCAAGGTAAATGTTATGAGACAGAGCAGAACACACTTATAACTCTACTCTCTCCACAGGGTAACACCTCAAAAATAAATTAAAACAACTGTTTAAAAGGCACACTTGAACAAAGGAAATCAGAGAAGACACAATGACAAATCTGATCAATCTGTAAGATCTGACTTATATGCTAGAAAGTTCGCTAATACCTTGAGGAGGAGAAAGAAGGTTAGCAGGGATAGCAAAGAAGAAACCCATGCTACACTGCAGATACTTCAAAAGGCTCAGGAGTTGGTGGCACCAAGTACTTATGGAAGTAGAGGTTAAGGTGTGGCTAAAAACAGATGACTTAGAGGAAAGCCTATTAAAGAAGCAATTAACATGCCAGATCACCTCCCTGGCATCAGAAAACCAAAGGATTATCCTCTGGAAAAGGTAAAACAAGGTATCTGAGCTAGAAAACCAGATACAGTTGAGAGTTTACAGTCTGAAAACAGGGATGTTATCAGAAAGGTTACTTAACGTCCATCCATTGTTCAACACTCTGCCGCCTCCAGCTTTCTTCCCCCATTCAGCTCCCAGAACACTGGCAAGCAGACTCAGTCGGGAGGAGATGGAGATGGCAGAAAGAGTATTTTCTGAAGATCTGACTAGCCCCAAGAGAAAGACCTAAAGGTACTAACACTGGCTATTTCCTAACGAAATGGCCCCACATATCACTCCACATTGAAATTCACTGTACATAAGCATCAGTGACCCTCCTTTTTCCCCACCCTACCAATTTGGGATTTTTTTTTTTAACGGGCTTACAGTGTTTGACTACAGCATATGTTCAAGAAAATTTATAAAAATGATAACAATAAATTTAGAGGAAACCACGTTTCACTATATATTTAACAAAACCAGCAATTTGGATCTTATTTGAAATCTGTAATTACTCAAGTATGCTATGCTAAATCATCTTTGCATTTTCTGTTAAATAGGAAATCTAAAATTTCATTTAAATATGACTAGATAATGGTGATTTTTAAAACCACTTGCAAGAAGTGGCTCCTGCATTACAACATTTGGCAACAACATTTTGTACAAGCCAAATCATTTTTTTAATATATTCAATAAAAGAGGTGAATAATCAAAGATATTCACTAGGGTAGAATTAATTTGACTTGTTGTACATATTGGAAAGTAAAATAACAACAACAACGGCAAACTATACTTCCCCAAGGCAGGATTCAGATGTTTCATTAGTTCTCTAACCTACGATAATTTATAACTTCTAACAATTATTTTCCTTTCTCACAAAAAAGGAGCTGTAACACCATTATTTGCATAAAACAATTTGGCTTTTCCTCTCTTTTTCCATTTTCCACAATGTATTTGGTTTCCAAAATCTGCTAAACTATAATGTAAACTATACTAGAAATGCATCATACATTTATGGCAGAATTAATGAATTGCCTGATCTCTTCATTTCTTACAGCACCTAAAATATTATATTCATGTATTCAGTATCTGCTAAACTGAATAAAAATCTTCATCCACTTAAACTGTTTTCATCAAGCAGCTTAATTTCTTGTAGAAATATAAAACATACATACTGCATTCCTAACATTGCTTAAAATATTTTTGGCACTGCATTTTGCTCTAAGTTAAATCAGTTTTATATGTGCAAATTTTTAAAAGGCATCCTGGAAACATTCTAAAATAATTCTAAAAACTGAATTTCCATACTTTCCACCTTAAATTACCCATTGGCATTGGCATCCACTACAGGTATTGATCGACTTACCACCTCTGCAACTCACGACCATTCAACTTTACGACCACAATTGCCAGCCACGACTGCTCCGCGTCTGGCAGCGCAAACGTTGCCCAGCTGGGCGTATGATAGTGTGGACCAGCTTCCGGCAGCACTACCATCTCCGCGTGCACCATTTCAGCTGTACATATAGCCTACTCAACTTACAGCCAAATCGTGTTACGACCGGTCCGCGGTCCCGACCGTGGTCGTAAGTCAAGCATCAGCTGTACTAGGAAAACCCAAACTTTCACTCAAAAACACTTATATTCTTACTTTTGCTTCGTTGAAGATGCAATAAAACAATCTACCCTTTTAACAGCATAAACTTTAAAATTATAAGACTAAATTTCATTAAATGCCATCAAAACATCTCTTCTTTCGACATACCTAACAGCATGGTGCAAAGACTAGTGATCTCTTGTGCAGTGCTAACTTACAGTTTTCATATTTCCTAATTAAGGCTCCCCATGGCCCCTATTCAGCTGTCTGGCATTAGAAAAATAAAGAGTTTTCTTCCTTTCTTTCCTGATCATTATTAGGTCTTGAAATAATTCAGCAACAATTTCACCCATGTTGTGCCTTTCACTCTCTTAAAGCCAGCCACAAAAACAAGTCCCTGAATCCAAAAGCTAGGCCAGGTTATGAAGAAAAAGGAGCAGAAATTAAAGCTAGTAACAAAATCACAGCAGCAGAGAAAACTAATTCTATTACAGGAAAATACGGCAACTGCTAAATATAAACCTCTGACTCCTAAAATTTCTTTTCATTAGCTGAAAATGTCTTTCTTTTAGCTGCAATTTATTGGCTTACTATGGTAAGAATGATTCCTTCATGCTACAAAAGAAGTGCTGAAATATTAGACTAATTTTTTTAAGTAAAAATAAATATTACTTTGTCACAGTTTATTTTATAGACAAAAGGTCTCAAAATCTTGAGTAGACAAGGGAAACAAAATGCTGGAAACATCATGATCCACAGATATATACAACTGTGAAAACACACATGTTAAAATCAGAAATGGAAATCATTAAATGAAGGTATTAAAGCCTACTGGAATTTATCAGAATAATTTACAAAAATTGTTCATCAGTTTTAAAATGATAATGAACATTTATCATGCTGACCTGGATTTCCTCCCAGATGTCTTCGTCCAGTAAAGTAGCTGCTCTATGGTGCTGCAAAGGGACTATCAGGCAGTGCCCCTCAGTAAGAGACTGTACATTGGGTAAACATAAATAAACCTATGGGGAAAAAATTCAAAAGGTGAAATGTTATTGTTATTTATTCTCAGTTGTAACATATGAACCCTTAGTAGAAAAAAAAAATGATGAATATTTAATGAAGAATACTTATGAATTGTTTTTGTAAATGTTAATATTTTAAAAGATATTTAATATTTTTAAAGCCATCAAGATAGCTTTTAACAAACTGTAAATTTAGAGCACAGATCTCAATTTTCACCATTATATATCAGACAAGGATTAAGATTAGGCAAAGAAGAGCAGAATGAATGATACATTATCCTTAATCTGAAGAAGCTAGATACTTCGAAAACCCTTGAAACAACACAACTTTCACAAAAATAAAAAGACCCAAGGCCTAGTAATGGTATTCTAACTGATGCCTACTTATCAGGTCTTCCTTGTCTGATTAGCTGAGAAAAAGAGAATTAACTCAGCTAAGAGGAAGAGGAAATGATCCCAGAATGGCTTTACCGCTCTGCTTATTTACATACACGTATAACCTAAAAACTGGTGCTATTTTTCCATTATACACAAACTGTATATCTTTTTAAAAAGGGTTAATCAGTATGTTTACAGAGAACAAAAGCATGACAAAGGGCTTTATCTTATTTCTGTTATATTTTGCTGGGTTTTAGCTAGAAATAGTTTGCATGACAGACATTATTTAATAGAATAACTCAAATTTTTCAACCTTCACTGTAACAAAGTAGGAGTAGAGTGGATATCTACCTAAAATTACAATAAAATCACAACCACGTTCATGAAAAAAAGAAAAAGAAATCAAGATTAAGGGCCATGGATATGTCTGTAGACAACTTATAAGATTTGGCAAATGAAACATTTAAAGACATCTCAGAATTTTCTACATAATTACTGAAATAGAGCCAGGTACAAGTGTCACTGATAGGTCGATTAAGTTGCAATAAAATTCATTTTTAAAAGCAGTATAAACATAAAAATCACCTAAAATTGGTATCAAAATCAGTTTTTCTAAACAAAAACAGACACATAAAAAAGAAATACCTAAATAAATTAGAACACACAAAAAATCAATACTTTTTTTTATTTGACAGACCGCAGAGCTACCAATTGAATAATCAATAATTATTGAGGGCCTATTACATGCCAGGTAGTGTTGCACATGCTAGGGAATCAACAATGAGCAAGGACACAGATCCCAACCCATAAGGAGCTTACGGAGTGCTACAGATTGAATATCTGTGTGCCTCCAAAATACATATGTTAAATCTTAACACCCAAGGTGATAACATTCGGAGGTAGGAGAATTTGGAAGGTGATTGGATCATGAGGGCTCTGAATGGGATTGATTCCCTTATAAAGAGGCCCCAGGTAATGTGTCACTTCTACCATGTAAGGACATGGCAATAAGATGGCTGTCTGTGAACCAGGCTGTGGGACATCACCAGACACTGAATCTGCTAGCACTTTGATCTTGGACTTCCCAGCCTCCAGAACTGGCTTCAATAAATTGTGTTACTGATGAGCAACCCAGTCTAAGGTATTTTTTTATAGTAGCACAAACTAAGGCATGAAAGAAGAAAGACAAATAAGCAATGTAAATGTAAAGTAAAATGAATAATATTTCAGATGATAATAAGGGGTACTAAAAAAAATAAAGCAGAAAAAGGTATACATAGTGTCTAAGGAGATGTTAGGAAGCCCCCCTATAAAGTTATCTATTAGGGTAACATTTGAGAAGATATGTGAAGGAAGGAAGGGTATACACAGAAAGAAGCCCCCAGACAAAGGAAAATGCATGTGAGGAGGATGCATACCAGGTACGTTCTCCAGATGGTCAGACAGCCAGTGTGGCTAAGCTGAGAAGATGAGGGGAAGGCTCACAGACAGTGAGGTAAGAGGAAGAATTGGGCCTGTAGGCCTCATAGGCAACGATAAGGATTCCAGCTTTCGTCTGAAAGCCAGGTCCGACTAACGATGACTTAAAGTCAAAAAGATCACTTGCTGCTGTATAGAGAAAGGGCAAAGGAAAAAGGCAGAAAAACCCATTAAGGAACTATTACAGGAGTCCAGTAATAGATGATAATGACTTGAGCCAGGGTGGTAGAAATAAAGATTATGAAATGTGGTCAGAACAGGAATATATTTTGAAATACAGCCAATACAATTTAGAAATGGACTAAAAAAGAGGAAGAATACAGAAGGGTTAATATTAGCTTAAGATAAATAAATGTGGAGACAAGTATTAGACCTTTACCTAAGTTTGAGATGTTTATTAGGTATCTAAGTGGAAATTAGGTTGGATATATAAACCTAGAATTCTAGGAGATATTTGGGTTAAAATGTAAATTTGCTAGTAGTCTATAAACAGCAGTCATGAAATGAACAGAACATTTCAAGCAAAGATATCTCTATTACAGCTTTTTAAGAGAGTGCAAGCAAAAATTCTGAAAGTCTTCTGTAGCAGACTACACAAATGCATCCAGTTATTCACTATTCCATATACCCAAACCCTTCACAATGTTACTCTGTAGCTCCTTCCATCAAGAGGTGGAGTTGCAAACAGGCCTTATGATTCATGAGAGCCAAAAGAATATGGTAGAAGTGATGGTGGTCAGTTCCAAGTCTCTGCCTCAAGAGGCCTTGTGCACTTCTGCTAATTCTCTTGGAACAAGCCTAGCTCCCATGTGAAGTCTATGCTAGCCTACTGGAAGATGAGAGAACATATAAAACAGAATGATTTAAATGTCTTAAGCCACTAAATTTTGGTGTTTTGTTTATGTATGAATACTAGTATATCCCCACTTCCCCCCTTTAAAGGGATGAATGGAAGACTAGATAATTCTCAGGTCTAATGTATAAAGTCTTTACTCTCCTAAGATCTGAGAGTAAGGGCAGCACCCATTTCAGACAGCTGGTATTCCCAGAATGAACCATGTTATGTATACCTCAGTGTCTTTGCTCATGTTGTCCTGTATTTCCCATATACTGAAATTTATCCTATTCCACCATTAAAATGAAGCACAAGACATACTTCTTCCAGAAAGCCTTCCTTGATACTCCATAGTAACTTAAATATTCCTTCTTTGTGTCTCCATAACCCTTTTGCATATATATCACTGCATTAAAATTTATCTGTTTATGTTTGTCTGCTTCCCATGAAGCTGTAAGCAACTTGAGGTTTTAGGCATATTTATATTTCTAGTACCTAGGACTAGAGCCTGACAAACAGGCTGATAAGTGAATGAATACCTGATAAGTGAACTAATTACCAAAGAGTTTTTCTTTCTTTTTCTAAATCAAATTAAAAGCAACGACTAGAATCATGTAAAAATATTAAAGAATGAACACAACTCTTATTTAAGTTATAACTGTTTACATAAAAGTTGAGAAAGAAACTGAGAAAAATAAATATAATTAGTTAAGATGAATTTTTACAAATTATTTTTGAATGGGATCTTGACATTTATCTTTTTGTTAAGCATGAAGGAAAAGAGAAGAAAAAGGATAAAAAAATAAAAGAAGCCAAAATTGACACTGATGAATTAACTACTTCAACAACCTAAAGATATTAAAGATCACGGATATGTGTACATATATGTATGTATACAATAAACAACATAAATATGTATATGGATGTTTCCCAAACCATAAGTTCCTGAAACCAGCATTCATTCAACTTCTTCCACTTTTTCTCACTGACTCCACTCCTGCCTTCTTTCTGCTTCATCAATGCCAAGCTCATTTCCCCCTCAGGGCTTTTTACTGATGGTCCTTCCTGAAACATTATTCATTCCTATCTTCATATTACTTGTCCTTCCCATTTTATATGTCTTTACTAAAGATCCTTACAGAAGCCTTCCAGACTACCGTGTGAAAAAAATACCCCCATCATTTTCCCCCATTTCTTCACTTTACTTGCTTTATGACAATTAATTCTTTCAAATCAGGTCAATTATAACTTTATTTACTGCCTATTGCACTAAGCATAAGGTCCAAAAGTCTATCTGATTCTTGACTTTTCCCCAGTGACTAATTAGGGTATGGCATATATTAGGTACTGTTCTGTATACAAAAATTATGTACTTAATATAAGAATTACATCAGTAAGTATTTATTGAAATCAATTAGTATTATTATGTACTACAACCAGGGCGAGATGCTTGGTATACAATGGAGAGCAAGAGTTATCGCTATCTTCACAGAGCTTAAAAACTATTAAGGGAAAGACCCAATAAACAGGTAAAACAAAGAAAATAACTTCTTCAAGTTATTCTATGAAGAAACAACAAAGCTCTATGAGAATGTAAGTAAAGGTTAATAAATACTTCTTACCTTAACACCTATTGCAACAATAAGATGCTTGGGAAATTGAGAGCTGTCAAAACAATACAGACATTTTTCCATTTGTGCAGCAAGACTCCGATGCTCAGCAATAGCTTTTTTCCACTGGTTCTCTTCCTCTTCACCAAGACGTTCTCTCTCAGCTGCTTTGGAGGCAAACATGTCATCCAGGGTATAATAGTCTCCATCTGTTTTTCCCATAAACTGAAAAACCAAAATAACAGTAATGAAGAGTAGAAGGTATTGATTAAGATTTCATTGTACTGTGGTATCCTAAATCCATATCTGTAAGTTCTAATGATAAAACCCACACATTTAAAAGAAAAAAAAAAAAGATTACTATTTAAACTTGATCTTCTAGAGTCAATTATCATCATAATCACAGCTAAAGTTGACTAAATATTTACTATATACAATTCTATATGACTTGTTCATGTTTTATACTCCTATGACGTAGGATCACTATCATTTTCAACTAATAGATGGGCAAACTGAATCACAGAGAGGTTAAGAAACTGTAACTTTAAAAATTCACATATACACTATATATTACATGAAACTTTTTTTTTTTTTTAACCACATCTCCAGGTACCTTCTCCATACATCCCCTAACATGAACTACAGACAGATTGATGCCTTCAAAATACAAAAACACAAATTTTATTTTCTTATTTTATGTACCTCCTTATAATCCTCAGAGTTCTATACTGTGTACAGAATTAAGTTCAAACTCTTGAACTTGAAAGCCAACAAAATCATACATACAGAAAGTCATAATGGTTTAAAGCTTAGATTCTACAGTCAAAATGACCATGGTGAAGTTCTCTCTCCTGTATATACAACTTTGAACATATTACTTAATTTCTCTGTGCTCTCTCTATGCCTTATTTCCTCATTTACAATGGTTATAACAACACTGCCTGAGTATCCCTTATTCAAAATGCTTGGGATCAGAAGAGTTTTAGATTTCAAATTTTTTCTGATTTTGGAATATCTGCATATACATAATAAGATATTACAGGGATGGGACAAAAGACTAAAATGAAGTTCATTTATGTTTCCTATATACCTTAAATGCATAGCGCTAAGGTGATTGTATATATTTTTAATAATTTTATGCATGAAACACAGTTCATCTATATCAGAAAGCAAAGATTTCATTATGTCAGCCACCCATGAGGAATTACAGCACATTTACACTTATCTATACCTGCTGTATTGGCACAGGACTGAACAGTTACTCTGTCCTTGGCATCCTCATTTCCTGACAGGCTGTCTCATCAGTTGTAGTATTTCTTCCTGGGTCAACCCTTGATGTTTAATTCTACTCTTTTTTCAAACTTAGGGTAAGATTTAGCTGTCATTTCCATCAAAGAAACTTCATCTTGCAGGCCCTTCCAAAGCGTACTTACACTGCTGTCAGTCTCAGGATGACTACACTGTATCATACTCATTAAATTGGCTTTTTTTTCCCCATTATACTACATTCTACTAAGTGTAATAAAAGTATTAAAGTACTAAATGTAATGTAAATTACTTAGTGTAATGGAAGTATTAATAAAGTACTAAGTATTAAAAACAAAACAAAACTACATTTTATCATCAAATATAAAGCAATAGCAAGATGCTCGGATGTTAGCAGACATTTTAAACAATTTGAAGACACAGCAATTCTATTCATGTCAGACAAAGTAGATTTCATAGTATACGGTATTATGAATGATAAAGGGTCACCTGATAAAGGAGTTATAACATCAAGAGGACATAACATTCTATAGATTACATAAGTTGAAAAGAAAAATTTTAAGAGAACTTAACAATCCGCAAGTTTACATACCTAATAACAGAGATTCAAAACATATAACATAAAACCTGATAGAACTGCCAGAGAAATAGATAAATCATAACTGTAATCAGATTTTAAATACCCCACTCTCTGTAATTGGTAGCACAAACAGAAAAGCAATAGCTATGGAGACCTGAATACACTCTCAACCAACTTGACTTAATTGACATTAATAGAAATTCCACCCAACAGCAGCAAAATATACATTCTTCTCAACTGTACATGGAACATCGACCAAGATAGATGACATTCTGGGTCATAACACAAGTCTCAATAAATTTAAAAAGACTCTAGTAACTTAAGGTATGTTCTCTGAACACAATGGAATTAAATTAAAAATCTGTAACAGAAATATCTTTGGAAAACTGCCACATACTTGGAAACTAAATAATGTACTTCTAAATCACCCATGAAACAACAAAAAATTAAAAAGGCAATTAGAAATGAATTTAAACAGCAAAAGACAAAAATACAACATACAAGAATTTGTGCAATGCTGCTAAAGCAGAATTTAGAGGGAAAATTATAGCATTAAACATCTGTATTAAAAGACAAGAAAGTTCTCAAATCAATGATGCCAACTGCCACCTTAAGAAACTAGAAAAAGAACAAAAAATAAAATCCAATGTAAATAGAAGAAAATTTATTTAACGCCATCACTGATAGGTAAAAGGATTATTACCAAGGTATTTCTTAGGGCACACTGAATTCCTTGCTTCTACTAGCAATTTATTTTTTTCTTCCACATTGTCTCCATATTAACTCTTGCATACTTCTTGAGTTTTCCAGGTTTGTCTATTTATGTAAACTGTATTGCCTTACAAATAATTGTTTTAACTTTATATCCTCATCTAAACCATAATTCATTGCATTCTAAAAAAACATCAGAACTGGTGGACTAATCATTTTCATGAATAAGCGTCCAACTACATGCTAGATATTAATATAAAATTTAAGTATTCTCTAATCCAAATATTTCTGCAACACAGAAATTTATATTCTCATTTGACAGATCAAAAATTGAGGCTAAGAGAAACTACGTAACTTAATCAAAATCACACATCTATTAAAGGACACAACCAGGAATCAAAATGGGTTTGTCTGACTACAAAATGGCAGAATGTCTCGCATATAAGTGAGGCTTTCTCCCTTAAGAAACCAATGTTTGAAACACAGAAAGGTTATATTGTGAATACAGTCTATGAAGCAGAATAAAGAGCTAGAAGAAAACTTATCTCAACTAGAATAAACATACCAAATCAAGTTAAGGTACTTATCAATGGGAACACAGATATCTAGTAGGTATTTATCTTATCCAAAATATATTAACAGGACCACAATACACATTTATACGTACATAACTGGGCCTTCATATGATATAACCCATTGTGTTTTTGAAAAGTTCATAAATGATCAGACAGAACATCCAATTCAAATCAAATGTTTTATACATGGAAGATGACATTTCTACTCTTAAATCTAGTTTTCATGGATGTCGTCGAACCTCTCTGATTTACTGTTTGTACCGAAAATGATACAGTCTTGTCAATTAAGTCTGACCGATGCTTCAACACAAGGGAAATACGGTCCCCACTGATCCAAGAATAATTAATTCCCTCCTCCTACAGCCTCGATTTGCATTTTTACTCATTATCTTTTCTTTGGGCTTTGATACAAAATATTTTTAATTTATCAATCATGTATACCTCTTCTATGACCTCCAGCCTACCATATTCTCATTAAGTGACAGTTAACCATCAACATTTTTTAACAGACAGACTGGTAAAAGATAGTGGAGAATGTACTAAGCCTAAGATGGAAAAAGCGAACAAAATTGCTGGATGAAAGGAGATAAACAAAGAAGAGTGGGGCATGAAAATAAGCCTCTTCATCATTTAGACAGAATCCTTTTGTGTTTTCTGGTACACCAGAAACACAAACTAAATAACAGTAACTTAGCCATTTCATACTCACTAAGATGGCTAGACTCAGATAATAACAAGTGTTGTCAAGCATGTGGTAAAATTAGAACTCTTAGGGAATGTAAGATGGTGTAGCTGCTTTGGAAAACGGTCTGGTAGTTCCTCAAACAATTCAACATAGATTAATAAAATAGGAAATATATGGCTTACAGAGGTATCCAATCTTTTGGCTTTCCTGGGCCACAATGAAAGAAGAACCAACTTGGGCCATACATGAAATATACTAACACTACCCATACCTGATAAGCTAATTTTTAAAAAAATCGCAAAAATCTCATAATATTTTAAGAAAATTTACAAATTTGCATTGGGCTGCATTCGAAGCCGTCCTGGGCCACATGTGGCCCATGAGCCATAGGTTGGACAAGCTTGGGTCACCACATGATGAAGAAACTCCACTACTAGATATATATACCCAAGGAAAATGAAAATATATGCCCACACAAAAACCTGTACATGAGTCATTATAGCAGCATTATTCATAATAGCCAAAATGTAGAAACAATCTAAATAGCCATCAAATGATGAATGGATAAACAAAATGTGGTGCACACAAGGCAGCATTATTTGGCCATAAAAAGAATGAAGTACTGATACTTGTTACAACATGGATGATCTATAAAAACATTATGCTAAATAAAAGAAGTCAGTCATTTAAAAAAAACACTCTTCTATGATTCCATTTCTATGAAATGTCAAAAACAGGGAAATCTATAGACAAAATAGATTAGCAGCTGCTTAGGGCTTAAGGAAGAAGAATTGAGAGGGTTAGCTAATTTTAATCTGTCATCAATTTTCACTGTCATCAACTTTAACCATGAGTAACCGCTTTTAGTCAATTCTGTGAGTTTGTCCAGCAAAATATTAAATTCAAGAATGGCCTTAGGAACCTATGTAATTGTAGTTGGTGTCAGAAGTAAAGGTGGTCTTGAGGACTCCTCAAAATCATGTTTGGCTGGATGGTCAGGGACTTAAAACACAATTAGAGAACTGAGGACAAGGTGGTCTGGGGAAAAGGTATGCAAACAGAGAGTGCAAGGATACTCATGTCCCACATGACAGTATTTATGCCACTAGCTACACCTACAATTGTCTCAAAGCTTGTGAACGGCCATGCACCGATAAAAGTTACACATGAGCTCACCATGGGCTCACGTGTAAAGCCAACTGGGCTACAACCACTGATGAACACCCAGTCTGCCAACAACAGAGACCAATAATGAGCCCCTGATATGATAAATCTCCCTAGAGGGATAAGGCAGCCACCTGGCCATCAAGGTGAATACAACAGACCGCTTCCATCATGGAAGAAACAGTGCTTTCTTTTTACTGGAATAGATACTTACTTTGGATACGGCTTTGCTTTCCCGGCATGC